TTTCGCAAAACGCTTCTCAATTTCGGCAAGGAAATCTTTAGCCTTAGTAATCCCTTCGGATTCTATGCCCCTGAAGGCTTCCGGAACGCCGCGCTTAATGATCATAAGACTCATGCGATTTGAACGCTCCCACTTCTCATGCTCCTTCTTTGCATCAGGAGTGCTATCCGCATTGAGAGGTTGGGGTTGTTCAGTTCTTAATGCATAGTCAAGATCCATGCAGCCAAGAACAATTAATATGTTCTCTTTCCAAACCTTGAAGTTTGTCCCATTTAGCATGGGAATTGAGTTGATGTTAGCAGAAATTGTTGCAGCAGATGCATTAGCTGAAATAAAACAAAAATGCTCACATCAATAACCATAATCAATAAAATTCAAATAATGACAATCCCCATCCAAGATACCGGCACAACATTAATATCAAGTCTTTGGACAGTAATATTAACTTGTAAGTGATACCTTGTTGCAATGATCAAACATTGACAATAACTCATGTCAAATAATGAAACTATCTTTGGATCGATTCATTATTCACATGTAAACCTTATAATTGTCACACGTTTATCATCACAGATGTGTATACAGTCTAAATAAATATTAATCTTCCTTTGGGCCGATTAAATATTTACACGAAAGCATACACACAAACATCTCACATTCCTCATGAACAATCTACACAAGAGAGGTTACTTTGGCAACTTCTTGTTTCAATTAATCAATTGGAGTGAGAGACAACCTTAATACCTTAGTGTCATAATATTTGAATTAAATAATTGATTAAAAACCAAATTAGATTTAAATTAAAAAGTTTTAATTTAAATCAACTGAATTTCCAAAAACTTAATTGGGGTCTCACAGCTTAATTAGGGCCCATAACTTAATTGAATAAATTAAGTATACCAAAGTGGACCCATGAAAAGCCGAGGCTTAACCATAATGAACACGAAGTTCCCTTAACTTCGAACGCGAGGTTCGACTGTATTGAGTACGAGACTCACTTAAGCACGAACGCGAGGTTCGTCTGAAAATGAACGAACGCGAGGTTCGTTTGATAAAAGAACGCGAGGTTCAAATTGGGAACGAACGCGAGGTTCGTTAAAAAAAATGAACACGAGGTTCGTCTGAAGTACGAACGCGAGGTTCGTCTGAAGTACGAACGCGAGGTTCGTCTGAAGTACGAACGCGAGGTTCGTCTTAAGTTCGAACGCGAGGTTCACCTTAGAACGAACACGAGGTTCGTTAAAATTGAGCTTGACGCTCACCTGAGTTGAACGCGAGGTTCACCTTAGAACGAACGCGAGGTTCGTTAAAATTGAGCTTGACGCTCACCTGAGTTGAACGCGAGGTTCACCTTAGAACGAACGCGAGGTTCGTTAAAACTGAGCTTGACGCTCACCTGAGTTGAACGCGAGGTTCACCTTAGAACGAACGTGAGGTTCGTTGAGCGTGAAGCTCGGTTAAAATTGAACGAACGCGAGGTTCGTTTGAGGTAACCACCTCCTAAATTTTCGCCATGAACCCTTAGAGTTTCAAACTGAAACCGCCGCCGTCAAACCCAAGAAACCTTTGATTTTTATTTTCAAAACAGATTCAGAATTGGAAAAAATTGAAGAAAAAATCAAAGAAAAATCTAAAAAAAATTCCAAAAGTTACTGTTCACCGGCGATATTTCAGTTACTGTTCATCCGAAAAAAACTTTACTGTTCATCCGAAAATTTTCGTTATTGTTCATCCGAACCCAAAAATTGAATCTTTAACCAGAGATTTAAGATCAAAAACCCAATAAAACTTAAATCCCTAAGAATTAATCAAGGTGGCTCTGATACCACTTGTTAGATCTAAATCAAAACTTAAGATCTAAAACCATATAGCCATGATTAATTCAAAGAGATTAACAAAATCAAAAGAGCGGAAGCTTATACCTGAATCCATGGATGAAAACTTGATTTGGGTTTTTTGATGATCTTCTAACCTTAGGGTTTCTCCAAATCCGAATTTCTCTAGCTAGATGGGGGTGTAGAGAATTAGAGAATGTAACCCTAGGTTAGGGACCATAACCCCTTATTTATAGATGTTGTACTTTTGTAATTTAGCCCCTCAATAAATTACAATTACAACCTGGTATCTGCACATATAACCCCATAACTTATTTAAATACCAAATTAACCCAACTTAATTGATCACTTTAGTGGGTTATCCTGAAAGATAGCAATACACATTGATTAATCATATGTGCCCACAAATAGATTTATTAGATTAAATCCAACATGGGGCAATTACAATGTTTAGGGTTTCTTTGGGATATGTACCCTTCAAAATATATTAACTTTAGGGTTGATGAATTATTCCTAATACTAGAGTAATCCAGTATAAAAGGCAATTCCTAAAAACAGATACCAGTAAATACAATACTCAATAAATTAACAAAGCCTGTCAAATAATAAAAATATTTGGCCCATTAAAACCTCTATTATATGACCCAGCCCTTAAAAATATAAAAGAGGGGCAATCTCAGTAGGGCTAGACGTAAAAGTTATGAGTTCAAAAAGACACGGAACCTGACGACAAAAGTAGTGCGTGGTAAGTCTAGTTAATGGGCCGGCCCATTACAAACATACAAGAGGAAAGGTTGAAGCAACTCGTGTAACATTTTCATGGTGCGGCCTATGAACAACGCCCTCAGCCGACACAAATTTGTTGTTGACTTCTTGCTCTTTAATTAATTTTAGTTCAAAAAGACACAAATTTGTTGTTGATTTCTTGCTCTTTAATAAAAAAAGGGAAGAAGAAGAAGAAGGAAGTACCAAAACCTTTTCACATGCACAGAGCCGTAACAACACAAATGTGCAACTCAATCATGATATGAAACATGTCAATGGTTCTTGTGTTGCTATCGAAACTTCAGCATCAGAAATTATAGAAAGAAACAGTTAACATGTCAATGGTTCTTGTATAAGGCTCATATTTTCATTAAAGGGATGTTAATGAAACATGCATACTGGCTGCAGTGATGAATTCACATGACATGAGGACTATAAAGTATAAACCAGAGCGCAATGACCAGGCCTCTAAATAACAAAAGGAATATCATAGCATGTCAGAGAGGGTGTGTTGATACCTAACGTGTGAGGCGAGAGGCGGAGGGGGAGCGTCGGCTGTCGTCGAGGGAGGAGAGCATGTCGATACCGGTGGGAGGTGGAGCTTCTTGACGAGGTGGGTGAGGTAGGAGTGGAGGGAGCGGAGGAAGGAGGTGGTTGGGAGTCAGAAAAGGAGGGCGGTTGGGGTTTTCACGGGTTAAATTTTTTTAAAATAAGGGTCAAGTATCCTGGACGAAAATTTCCGTCTAGGATATCCTAGCTAATTTTAAAAAAAAAATTAAAAATAATACATCCGTCTACTTTGCTATCTTAAACGAAAATTTCTTTGTAGAATGTTTTATCCTAGACGGAATATTCTAAATAGAAATTTTATATTGTTTTCTTTAAATTTCTAAATTTTCATGGTGTTATTGTTTATAGTTTATGGATTTTGTATTGTTTTTGTAAGTTGTGATGTTTTCAAGGTTTTTTGGGTAAATTTTGAACCTTTGAGGGATGTCTTGTTTAACTTTCGTATCTTTCATGGTGTTTTTTGTAAATTTTTAAAACTTTCATGTTGTTGTTTGTAATTTGTAGCTTTTATACTGCTTATAAGTATTGGCATTTTTTGGATGTGTTTTTATAAATTTAGAATGTTAAGGATTGAATGATACATAGGTTAAAGTAAATGAGTTGCTGACCCATTTATGATCCAATTAGTAAATGAGTTTTTTGAGTCGATCTGCTTATGATCCGACCCGTATAAAGTGATCCATATAGCCCATACTCATTTATAACAGGTCGGGTTAGGTTGGATGGGATCATAAAATTCCCACCCTTATAAACTCTTCTTATATGAAGCAAATCTCATGTTTATTTAAATAAATAAATACTTCTATTTTGTCAATCATGTTACAGAGCATACTCATAAGGTTCAATTTCTCATCCCGCTAATTTTTTTCCGATATGATAATCCTGCTAATTAGCACTATATAATTTTCTTTCTTTTTATTTTTTTTTATTTTTTTACTATACTCCATTTTATCATGTGAAATATTACTTACAACAAGCATTGATTTATATGGGATTAGAAACAGGGGTTTTTTTGCCTATGAACCAATGGTTCTACCCACATTTATTTTTAAATCCACGGGCTTCCATAATGCCTAATGGCTGCACCTAAAAAATCCTACGTGCTTGTATTCTTCCCTCTTTCCTCCCTCCTCCTTCACTGGGACCCACCACCATCCCACGGATCGCGCACCCACACCGCTGCCCTCGAGTCCGAACCCGTCATCTTCGAGCCTGACAATGCTCTCTTCGATCCGAACCCGACCCGTAAGCATACCCATTTCTATTCTTTTCCTCATGCTAACTGGAATAATAAAAAAAGAAAAACATTGTTCTATCACATCCTAGTCAGTTGGTACATCAAGACCAAATTAATCTTGTCACGCTAGTCCGAATAATAACTGGTATTCGGATCATGGAGCAGCCTCATTTGCACCCATTCGACTAGAGGATCCAACTTTAACCCGAGAGAAATTTAATGCATCTAATAAAACTGCAAAAAAAAAAAAAATCAACCAAGTGGGGATAATATATAAATAAACAGTTCATATTTTAAAAACATGTATACATTGAGCTCAGGTCTAATGCGGAAGGTCATCAACAATCAGAAGGAAGTAACGGAACCCATTACTCACCAGCACATTTCCTCATTGCTCGGGTTTTTAGAACAAAATTTTCTTTTTTAAACTTCATAATTTTCGTATATCCGATCGATGTGGGACTATTATAGACCTGACTTTACACACGGACTAACTAACCCACTCGTGATCAAACATGGGAAAACCCCGTGATTCAACGTCCAGACACGAAACCACATATCACGATGACAACAGAAAATTTAACAACCTTGACTATAACTTAGCCTTCCGCTATAAATTATAATCAAGCAAAAAGAATCAGACTTGACAGTAACAAATATGAAACAGCCCACGACTCTTCAAATTAAGAGAGCGACCTCAAAACACACTACCCCCCATAAAAACAACCCACCCTACGCTATACAAACTATTTAATCTCACTGACCATTTACACCGTCAAAACCCTGCCGTATACTTAACCCCAGTCGACGGCAACCACGTATCCCCCTTGATGAACTGAGCCACCGTAAAATTGGCCACGTCAGCCGAACTGTTGGTCGCATGGTAACCCGGCCACTTAACCCTATTTGCTAGGCCTGATCCAGGCCCATAATTCATGTACTCCACATAAGATGATGTGTTGAGCGCGAAGTCGTCTTGAAAAGGTAACCACCCTTCAGGCCTAATGGCATTGCCTAAATAAGATTGCATAACTATCGTTCTCGAGTACTCCTTCCAAGGCCTACCGAGATAGGTGTATGTTTGGTTCACGTTTTTGATGAGATCCGCATCTGCAGTAATGTTGCATGACTGGATAGCAAATCCTGTGTTTTGGTTAGGATCTTTGCGTCCCTGGGCGGTAATGGTGTTTTTCTGGTTGGGTAACGCGAGTCGAGCTAGGATTTTAGAGTTCTGGATGACGGCAGCAGCGTTGCCAAAGATAAAGTCGACTGTGCCTGTGATGACACAGTCGCGATAGAACTGACGGAGGGAATGGGGATAGAGCGTGTCTTGGTAACCTCTGAAGGCGCAACGATAATAGACTGACAAGTCTGAGTCTGAGCGAAGGGCGACCGCTTGGTGGTTTGAGGGTCCGGCGGTGTTTTCAATCGTTAGGTCCCGTGCAATGAACCCTCTTCCGGATATACCTGTAGAAGAAGGAGACATTTAAAACATTGGTTACCTGTCGTTCAAAAATGTGTGAAACAAAAGAAAAAGCTAATTAATTTCTTATAAAATTTGGGTAAATTTTAACAAAACACTTTAACTAAGTTGTGCCTATTTTGAGATAAAAAGCTAAAAAGTTTGGAAATGTCACTTAACCCCCCAAAACTTTGAAGTATCCCCCAAAGAGTTTTAGGAAATAGATTCAAGTTTTGGGAGTCAAGGGGGCATCTCCCATTTTTTTGCGGGTTATATCAAAATGGGTGAAGCTTCTTTTTTGTGAAATTTGCCCTAATGACCTGTTTGAGAGATCACTAAAAGCTTTACATTAACTGATAGTTTGATAATAGTCAGATACTTCAATTCAAATTATAGTAGGCACCTTCCTACCAGGCAAATATGGGCCAATTTAAGAGTAGCCGACAAAAATCTCATGTGCTAGAATCCTGACCCCTAACTGACAAGAGTAAGAACAAGTCAAATGAATAATCCAGTGAAAGAATCGCATCTCCACTTTAGTCACGTATCACATACTTTCAAGAGTAAGAACAAGTAAAATGAATTATTGGGAACACAAAATTTCCCCTCCGTGCTTGATATAATAGAAGAAAACAGAGAAAAGGAGAAAGATCGGTGATAAAAGAAGACAGCGAGGAGAATGTGACATGAGAATGCGATTGACATGAGCTTTGGAGAGAAAAGAGATCTCGTGGCTCCTTATACTAATCAAATTAAGAACTTGATCTAGATCGTCCAAAGGATGGGAGAGAAGGAAAAGAAATGTTTTTCTGACCACAAAAATCGAACTTATGCATGTCATTGTAGCCTAATCATAAATAGTAGGAAATAGATATGACGGCAGGGGCACATGCATGTATGGAGATTTATGAATAAAGTCACAACTTGGTAGCCTGTTCACAAGAATCACATTATGAACCTAAGTTCAGCCCCTGATCTAATCAAATTCGTTAGTTACATTAATGTAAAACACATGTAGTAACTCTTACAAAATTGATTAAATGTAAGGGATCCAAAAAAATGCCGCGTCCAACCCATGTTATGTTGATTAATGATGATACGAATTTAATGTGGTTTCATTGATGAAATTGCTAGTTCTGTGAAAGCTAGCATCCTCCACTAGCTAGGTTGATTTATTAGCTTCGATCCTTTTTAGCCATTACACTTGCATGTTGCTACCTGCAACAAATTAGATCAAGAAACCCACAGGCTTGGTATCTGAGGATGAGACATGGATTTTTTACTTTACTAAGTTCAGTGAAAGTTCATGTGCCCAAATGTTGTTGCCTCTAAAAATAGTTTCCAAACTGGAAAACTTAAATGAGACCATATCTAACGAAGTTTATATGTAAAGATTCATCAAACTCCTAATTCTGCATGTCAATAGACAATAAAGGGTGCACTTTAAAACTGAGCCTATTCATTCTGTGTAAAAAAGCATAGGAGTGTAAGTATTTGATATATATTATGAAATAAGATACAAATTAGAATGTGTGAAGAACAGAGTAACACTGCTGCAGAGGTTTTGAGCAAAAGATTTTTGAAATTTAGACAGTAATTAATGTGGGACAAAAAAAATTAATTTGCTCACCGACAGTAGCAGATCGATAAGTGGTCCAATTGCCGGCGACGCTCCTGTTGCCGGAGATCACCGTCTGATCCATTCCGTCCCCAATCAGCATTATCATCCACTTCTTCTTCTTGATCTCCACGTTCTCCACATAAACACCCTTCTTCACATAAATCACATACCTTCTCCTCGCTCTCCGCCGGCGCCTCCTCTCACCGCCTCCCCCCGTCGTGTAGTTCCCTGTCCCGTCCGCCGCCACCACCACATCCGGCGTCACCCCGCCGGGTCCCATCTGCATGCACAACCAGTGTAATTTATCATCAGCGTTGTGTTCGGAATCCGCATCGACGGTCTCATGATTTTTTTTTTTTTTGACCTTTTTAATTAGGTGTATACCCTACGCTAATTCTAGTGATGTTACGGATAACAATTAATTAATTAATACACGTAAAAATAATTTTTTTTTAAAAAATCGTATAAAGCGTCCTGTAAATTAAAGATGTTACCTGCAGCAATCTCCGGTCCTCTGCTCTGACCCATTTCGGGAACCCGTCGGAAGAAACGAGATTTCTCTTGTTCAACCCGCCGGGGATCTGGGATAGGGCTCGGGCGACGAGGGAGAGACTGGAGTCGAGGCGAGGGCCGACGAGCGGACAGGAGGGAGGGAGGTGCCGGAGAGGGACTCGCGGCACGTGTCCTGTTCCGAGGGCGGGCGGAGAAGCCAGGTCCTCGAGGTGCGAGATGGCGTCGCCGAGACCGTGGCCGGCGAGGCAGAGGGAGAGCTCGGTGAAGGAGAGGTCCGAGGAGGTCGAGGCAGTCGGAGCGGGCCGAGGAGAGCGCGGAGGTCGCCGCCGTAAAATGCGCCGGCCGCGGGGAAGGAGAATGGTGGCAGATGCAGGGTTTGGATGACGGAGAGCGGTGGAGTGGAGGGGTGGGTAAGGGGATGAGGAGGATGCGGGAGTTGTTGTTGTTGAAGGAGGCGGACGGGTTTAATCGAGAACAGACGTGGCGCATTCTGCTGAGCCTGTGGGTGACGGAGTTAAGGAAGCGGCCTGGGAGAAACGGGGTAGGAGGAGGAGGAGAGAGGTGACGGCGGGAGATGGGGAAGGATGACGGCGTTAAGGAAGAGAGGAAAGAGGAGGAGGGGGTTTTAAGTGAGAGAGAAGGGGTTATGTTGGGAGCTTTTATAGAGTCGAGCGCCAGAGAGAGAGAGAGAGAGAGGCGATGGCGATTGATTAATTTTTGTGATTAATGAAGATTTTGGTAGCAGATAGAGAGATGGCAAGTAGAGAGAGAGAGAGAGAGAGAAGGGGGGAGAGGATCGTGGAATTGGCGCGCTTTTAGTATTGGGGGTGTAATGATGATATTATTATTATAAACTCAATACTAAAAAACATTTCGCTGCCTTTAACTTTGATTGTTTGGGAGGATTCAGGATTCCCTCTATTTTTCAAATACGACCCTTGCATCTTCTGTATTTGTGGAGCTGCTCTAAAATCTCATTATTTGTTAAACTACTCAGGATTATCAACACAGACGGAAACACCCGTACGTTGAAAATTCCTCGACTCTGTCGAGTGAAAATTTGGCTGTTTTGTAGGTGTTTTTACATTGCAGTTGCGAATTTGCTATTTTAGGTTGAGTAAATTTTTTGGTTCTAGGGATAATTATTTTCAAATATTTACAAACACGGATCATTTAAGAGGGGTATATTAAAAAAACCTAAAAAAGCTTTGTTTGATAGGAGAGATAACTACAGATGTGACATACGTGACGGTGTTATAGAACGGCTATGCATGACAGTGTAGGTAGAGTTGGCAAACTCTTGTATATACACGGGCGCGTTATCATGTATCTCGAACATTTTAGATATATACTAGGTTTTATACATGTACAATGCACGTTCTTAAATATCATGATTAAGTATTTTTAGCTTATTTTTTAATTAAAATTTGTTCTTCAGTTCCACTTTAATAGTTTATGCTCACTTTTGTCTCTAAACTTTAATATTGGGATTAGTTATTTTCTTTGATGCTTGTTTAAATGGGGTACACTCAATTTAAATTTTCATGTTAATATTTGAATTGATAGAAAATAAATATAATTTAAAGCTAATTTAAATTTTTATATTATTTTGATTAACATGAAACAAAGCTTTACTTGAGAAAATACAGTGTTGCAAAAGTAAAAAAATATTAAAATAATATTATACAAGGAAGTTGAATATTTAAAACCAATAAGCTAAAAAAAGTATGCTAAAACGATGCAAAAGAGAATATTAAGTAATTATTAATAGAGTTCATAAAAATTATAAATTAAATATTAATGTTAACTCTAGTATATTTTTATATGATAAAAGCATTTGCACAAGCATATAAAAGTACTAAAAAAAGCTCATGAAACACCCTTCTAAATATTTCTAAATTCACTCAAAATAATTAAACTATTTTATAAAATATTCACAAAATATTATCTTTTTATTCTTTCTATTTTATTTTTTTACTGAGCTAATATCAATCATTTCTCACCTTTATCTTTTTCCCGGACAATTCCAGAGTAGTAACTTCATCATCTACTCGATTGTGACATCAGGCTAGAGTTGTACTTTTTGTGTTGTTATTGTTCCTGGGCTCGTTAATCTTTTTTCTTGTTTTTTAAATTCACAAAAAAGTTAAATGTACTTTTGATATTCAACACAAACTTCTTGAAATGCAGACTTTGGTTTTCTTATTTCGATGAAAATAAATATTAATTTCATATATATAAAATTCTTTATGTTCCTAATTTATTAATTAAATAAGATTAGGAACTACCTTTTTTTTACAATGAATTCTTCTGATATGCATCCAATAATAGTTTTTGTTACGTCAATAATATTATATTTGCTCTATCCCTGTTATATTTCACAAAGATCTAAACTAAATACTTGTATTTTTATTGCTAATTTGCCTTAGATTATAATATTAATGTTTAATCTTTTTAGTATTTGAAGAATAAATTATGAAATTTATAAATGATTACTAATTTTTCTTACATCTTCCATGGAGAATTCTTCTTTGTTTGGGATAAATTTATTAAATTATTCTTCAATGTAACTCAGTTGGTGCTTCTTTAATAAACATACCTTATGTTAATGCCTATTCAAATGATTCATGAACGTTTTCTAAAATTTAGATTTATTTCCGTCACTTTCCCATTTGCAATAGAAATAGCTTGATTCTTTTGAATGATATCTCTAAACATTCTGATAGTTTCTCCATACGTAATTCGTTGTATTTTTTTTACCCTATAAATATTATTAACATCAGATATTAATATTTTAAAGTTATAATTAATTAATGCTAAGCTATTATTTTATAATCTTTTATTATTTTTATGGATTTAAACATCTATCAATTAAAATTACTAATGTGTTTTACTACTCCAACTTATTAGTATAATTTTATGTGGTTGCTTTAATTATATATGTGTTGTGCACAGCGGAACCGAAAGAGCATGAACACAAACGAGATAGAATCACAACCAATAAGTAAAACAAAAACCAAATAATACAAGATACAGATTTTACGTGGTTCGACAATGTGCCTACGTCGTCGTCTGACAAACAAGTTTTCTTCTGAGGACTTGTTGCCTTGATGGCGTTCTCAAGAGTCACACGTTTAAAGCCACGCTTTCGTGAGCACAGGACCTTAACGGGCTCTTGGATACTGACTGGCAGTCCAAGACGGTCAGTTGCAGGAGTTTTCCCATTATAGAAAGACTCTGACTTGTTGTGATGACGTGTGCGACCCCCAACTCGAGTAGTTGCTCGGGGTTCAGTCACCGGATCCAAGCGCTTTTTGATCGAAACTTTGCCTTGATCCTTGTGCAAAGGACCCAGACGATCCGCCATTAGCTTCTTGCTTTTGAACAAGTCTACGCTGCCGCGAGGCTTAATTTACTGAAAGTATTGGATCAATCAGAGTAGGGGCAGAACTCGATGGAACAGGTGCAGAATGTCTCTTGTATTGACCCTGGCGCGGGTCAGACCCACGGTTGGGAGGGTCGGATTTGAGTTATCCGCGGCTTAGAGGGTCAGATTTGAGTGTCCCGCGGGCTGGAGGGTCAGATCTGGGTGACCCGTGTTTTTCGATCTTATCGGCCGCCGATTCAGACTTTGGCCTCCAAGTTTGATGCAGCCTTGGTTGTTTCATGGCTATGTCCTTCTTCTGCATCTTTTGTGCCTTCTGTACAAGAGTTCGCGCTTGTGCAAGAAACATGTGGCGTTTCTGAATCCGCTCCTCAAGAGTTGAACGGGTCCTTTTGACTTGGATCAATTCACATGTTGATGATTTAGAGGAGGAGGGGTTTTTCGCTCGCTGTTGTGGCGGTTGATACTTTCTGGACTTTAGATCCGTTTCGTAGCGAATCCCGTCAACCGGTTCCAAAGCTTTAGCAAGTTGGCACGCTAGTCGTTGGTGTTGCCTTTGGCGTGCCCTCTTCTATAGAATTGGCGTGCCTTCAGTACTCAACTCTCTAATTGAGGAGGAGTTCAGATCTGCAGATCCGGCCTTGTTGGAGGCCGGAGGGGTATTGCAAGGTGCAGCTACTGCATCAACGGGGGCGTTGATCTTCCTACGCTTGCGAGTAGAGGAGGATCTGGAGGAGGAGGATGACAGATACTCCTCGTACTTCTGTTGGTCGAACTCGTACTCGACCTTTTCTTCAACCGGGATATGGATCCGAGGTTGCGACACGTCAGCCTTCGCAAAAAGGCTGTCGGCTCCCACTGTGGTCGCCAGTTTGTTTGGTTCAAAAGTTGTTTTCGTTGTCATTGAATCTATTACAACTTTGGTCGTTACAATAAACTCGAATAAAATAAAAAGTTGATCTTTTTATAAGATCTCATTATATAATAAAAATAAAAAGTTTACAACTTTATCAAACAAACGCAGAGGGATCGTTTATCGGTCTTCTACTTGTGCGGGATATTTGCCTTTTCCGAGGATGTCGATATTCATGGACCACCTACGGATTAGATCCGGTTGTCGAAAAATTAACGGAGCTCCTACTTCACCAAGGAAGTATTCGCTTGAAGCTCTGAAATCGACCAAACGAAATCAGTAGCTCTTCTCGAGATTAAGACTAAGCCTAATCTCAAGGAACGGTCGTACGGGGGGAGATACGAGTTCAGATCATTCGAAAGCCTTCCTCTTTATACTAAAGTTCGTCGGGATCTGACTTGCCTTTGCTGTAAATTCGTGCTCCTTTGACTCATCAATCCGGCAGCACCTCGCCCTCTTGATAATAATCTACCCCTGTGAATTAAGCCCCTAGGCCTGTATTTATAGGCTTCGGTTGGGGTTTTTCGGATAAGAATGATGGATTTGGCCATAACTTCAGTCAATAACGGCCTAACCATATTTGTGGATGATATCAAGTCAGTTGGAAACCCCTGGAACAGATAAATCCCGAGAAAACCGCTCAAAACTGTCGAAAACATGTCTGGGGGTCGAAACAGCGTCGCTAAACTTTTTGGTATTTTCTGACTTTTTCGGGACTTGTATTTTCCATCGTTTTGCGTATTTGGTCGTTTTGTTGACTTGCACGCGTCGTTTATGAGTATTTCGTCGTTTCGTTAACTTGTACGCTTCCTCGTACAGATCCTTTGGCTGACGAGCGTGCGGGCCACATGAGGATGGTTTGAGCGCACGGGACGCTTGGTTTGCCATTCTGGTGGCTGACGAGCGTGTGGGCCACTTGGCATTTATCGTTGTGGTGGTTCGTTGCCGCGTCATCAACGGTTTGCCGATTCGCTTCATGCGCTTGTCGACGTCGGATAATTCTCTTTGACTCGGATAATCCTCTTCGACTTGGATAATGACGTTCATCGCTTTCTCTTTTGTCTCGAACTGTATTCGGGGACCTATAGGTAATTTTTGACGCCTACATTGTGACCATATTTACCTTCTGATATAAGATGTATAACAAGCAAACTCATGAAAAAAATAGCGACTTTTATAAGTTAAACTCGGATACGGATGAATTATTGACTTTCCCACAAAAAAGACTATCTCTCAATCTGGAAGGCAGATTCTAACATATTATATATGAAATTCGCTGATATCGATGAGACGAAGTCATCCAGATTGGTAGATCCTAGAAATCACACCAGTATCACCTATTTTTGGCATAAATCCGAAAATAATTAATTTTTTATTTTTAGTAATAAAGTTACAATTAGTTTAGATTAGAAAACAAATTCAATTTTGATTCATGTTGGTGGATTGATTTGTTTCTTCTATTATAGATAACTTTTGTAGGGTAGATTTGATACTTTTTATTTCTTTGTAGTTCTAGTTTTATCAGGAGTCTATTTTGTGCTTCTACTTAAAAAGAGACATGTAATCCTAGAATTATTAGATCAATTTTATCAATAAAATTCCTCTTATTAAATTTTCTTGGTAGATTCGAAGATTGTTCTTTGTGGATTCAGAGAGCACTCCTTAATAGATTTTGAGATATATTACTTCCGAGCTACGTTACTTTCTATAAATTAGATGAATATTTATTTTTTGCAACAAGTCAATCATGAAAACAATAAATTAAAAAAGTACAAAAGCATTCAAATTCTAAATCAAAATTAATGTCGATAGTCCTACAACTAATTTTCAATGTATAGAGAGTTTAAACCTCCATATCAGATGTCATCATGTCACCATCCAATAGAAAACTTGTTGCAATAAGTCTCCAGATATAACTAGGATTATTTCTATGTAAATGGCATAAAATAGCCAAAAACGATATAAACTACAAGAGGTTCCGACGGATTATTCCTTAGAAGTATTGAACATTTCTAGGATATTATAGAATGATCCTAAAATCATACAAACACATGCCAATAAAGAAAATCTCAAAAATCCTAAAATAGGTAAAATCACAAGAAAAACATGCACACAAAAAGACCCTTTGGTAGATTATCAAGTACTCTACCAGATGAGCTACTAGAGGAAGACATTGTGGAGGTGATTAATATGTGAGTATAGTCCCACATCAGATAAGATAAGAAAGAGTGATGAGTTTAAATAGAAGTTTGAGTCAAATACCTAATAGCTATAGCTTTTGGGTTAAAATTGATTTCTAACTTCTGTTTAAGGCTAATAAACTCTAGATTGGGCCCGGTTTCCCCCCCAACAATGATATCAGAGCTAAGGTCATGGTCCAATTAATTTAAAAAAACAGATGATCTTCGATGTGAAGCCCGAAGGTGTCGGGAGAATCCACGGGCTTCCGTAGGAGTGATATAGTCTAGTTTGTCACCATGAGTGAAGTGGTGAAAGTTTCTACGGATGTTTGATAGCTATGTGCTGAATGCATGGTCTGGTTAGCCCCGAGTGAAGTGGTGGAAAAGTTTATGAATTGGTTAGCCCACAAGTGAAGTTGCGCAAAACTTAGGGGGGGTTATTCGTTGGTGTAATTTGGGATAAATTGTTCCAATGGGGTAATTTTATCCAATGGGATAATTGAATGGGATAAAGTGGGGGTAAAATGGGGTAATGGGATAATTTGAGTGGGACAATTTTAATATGACATCTTTTTATAATATTATATTTATAGCTTAATTAAATTCAAATTTAACTTGATATAACATCAAATGATTAAATAAATTCAGTCCTCAAGAACGTGTAATATTCTAATCACATAATTAACTAGATAATGTTGCACTAAACAAAACATCCAGAATTTTCAAACAGCAACAAGCATGCATTCAACCTTCGATGAAATCAACTCCCATCGGAGCCCCAAACTCCCGAATGACACCATCAGAGAAAGAAAGAACAACATCCCAGCCGCCGCAAGCCATAACACCAAACGAAACAGATTACAGAAAAAAAAGTTTTTAAAATCATTCTTCAGACCAAATTAACCTTCTTGTGCTAATTATCAAACAAGGTTCGGACCCAAACCGGCCAGCTCCTTCCCGATCCTCGTCATCTCCTTCCCCAAGACCTTAGCCCTCACCAGACTCCCAACGGTCTTCACCCCCAGCCCCAAATCCTTCCACCAAACCCCCCTCGCCATCCTCTTGTACAGGTAGCTGTCGAACCTCATCCTCTTCACGTACTCGTCCCCACAGAGCTCCACCAGCGCCTCCCTCCCCTCGTCGCTCCCGTAGAACACCAGCCGATTCCGGCGACGGAGCTCGATTTTGGTGACGGAGCTCGAGCTCGATTTTGGCAGAGGAACGGGCGCTCGAGATCGATTCCGGCGACGAAGCTCGATTTTGGCAACGGAGGTCGAGCTCGATTTTGGCGGAGGAGCGGCGATTTGGGGGTAATTTTGTTCCGCTCTCTTGTTCCAGAAATCAAAATGGGGTAATTTTGAGGGTTGGGCTGAGTTATCTTTATATAGGTGGTGTAATTTTAGGGGAAGTGGGGTATTTGTCCCCCAATTGTCTCAACAAACCAATAACACCACAATAGATACTCCAGTTCCAATTACACTAATGAATAACACCAAACACTGGTGTTCCAAAAATTATCCCATTATCCCATTTTTTACACCAATGAATAACCCCCCCCCCCCCCCCCCCTTCTC